TTAATGGAAGAAAAAGTCTCTCTCAGTTTCGGGTCTTCCAGAACTAATGTGTTTTCTAGCCATATTTGAAATGAAAATGATTCATGTCACTAAAATGTCTGAGCCATTACAGAAAGCTTTCAAACACACACAAGTTAAAATACTAATCGGAATCCTCCCCCCAAGCATTTTCAAACTCAGTGACCTTTATATCAGAAATGACTGTACTCTTTATAACTCATTCTCCCCAATAATAATGATTATTTCTATTATAATTCCTCAAATGTAAGGCCACTAAAATTGCTTTTATTTTTCTTGGTGTGTAGGTTAAAAATAAATAGTTTGGGATCAGCAGATGGTGTAATGGTTGCATCACTGGACTCCCACATAGTGGACCGTGGTTCAGGTCCTAGACCCAGTGACGTAAAACTCACACCAAGTGTTTGTTCATATGTGCCCCAAATTCCAAGAGAAGAATAGAGGAGAAGGGATTACAGTGCGATCATCCGCCTGAGGGGTGATTTCTTGCTTTCTGTCTGTCTGTCTCTCTGTCTCTTCAGCAAGCACATGCACCCTATAGCAAAAATCCCTCAAAAAAACCTTTTTATTGCCTTTAATCCAAGTAATTATTGTCTCATCTTTCTATCTCAGTTTTAGAACTCAGTAGGGTTTTTTCCCTTCTTTCTAAGAAATTTAGAAACTATTTTTCTCATTTGTATGATTAGATATTTTGGGGCTCAAAATCAAAATGAAAATATTCCAAGCAGTGTAATTCCAACCTAAATTAGCGGATTTTTCTTTTCTTGGGAAACATATCTGAACACAACATTGCTGATTTCAGAACACATAGGCTGCATTCTCATTTACAAGCTTGACATTCTTTTGGAAGGCTCAGTTGAAAAGACAAATAGGAAAGTGATTCTCTATAATTAAAGCTGTGGAGTGAAACAGGAGATGAGAGAAGAGGCAGAAGATGGCAAGTTGCCTCATTAATATCCCATAATATTTTGATTTTAGAAATTTAAGTTCACAGCGTGAAATCTATCTCAGAAAAATGTCTGTGCTGCTTCCCAGTGTGTCACTCATGGAACCCTCCTGCTTCCTGAGGGCAGCTGCATTCTCAGGACCAGACAGGAACGAAGCTCCTTCCGGCTGCCTGGCTCGCCCTAAGGTGGCCATGGTGCTGCGGACACCATGAGGACCGCTCTGCTTTTCCTGAGTGCTCACGTGTGCAGACCTCACTCCATGCACTTGACATGCAGCTTCTCCCCGAGTACTTCCGCACACACACTCTAAGGACGGTATGGCATATTCCCTGAAAACTGAAAATTGCAAGTTTCATAGTTTGTCTGAGGTCACAGTACAACTGAGTTGCAACGTTAATCCTGGTAGATTCCAGCGGTGATCTTGCAGTTTCTTTTCCCTACTCGACTCGAAAGGATGATTTCAAGATAGCGGTGGTGGAAGCACAGCTTCCACTTGTGACAATGATGTCATCTCGTATAATTATATCTAATAACATCCTGAGTTTTCCTTGAATCCAAATTCTCAGAACCTGATGTGCTTCTCTTCCGGTGAAGTAGTCTGAGCTGTTCCTGTTTGCGGCATTGAATATGTGGGGCCAAGCATCCCCCTGCTCCCTTTCCAGCTTCGCTGCGCTCAGAACCAACTGTTCCCAAGGAAGCAAAGATGCTATCCTGCCTTCCTGTTAACAGACTCAGGGCTTGGCTTTGCCGATCTGGGGCAGAGTCAGTGATAAACGTATTCTTAGCACTATTTACTTCGGTGTATACTGCCATGCTTTTGTTTTCACTATTTTTATTACCTATTATTTATGGATTTTATTAAAAAGGATTGATTAAAAAAAACAGGCCTTAATTCTAGGAAAGAAAAGATCCAAACTTGATGCTTCCTAGAACCTCCCACCCATGTACGTATGACATTAGAATATTTAACAGCCTGAAAATACGGCTGATTTTTCCATGGGATGAGTTCTTAAGAGCTTCCAGGGTGGTGCAGATGAAACGAAGTGGGATCAGGTCACTGGACTGGGAAGCATCCCCACACACAGTGAAGCACATCAGTTGAGGAAAGCGTTTGCTGAGACGTTTTCTAGCAGGCATCCTGCTCCCCTTGCTGGGAGGCTAATGCTTCGCTGCTCATGCACCAGTAAATTCATTCCGAAAACATATGTAGACTCAGTCAGGTTGTACCACTGAAGTCACAATCCATCGTGGGACGCAGGCCTGGGGAGGCTTGAATGTTAGTATTCAATAATCAGACCTCCGTCACATTTCCTGAAATACGCGAGCGAGCATACATCTTCATTCATATGTACACTGTCGGCAAGTGTGTTTCCTGCTACCTGAACTCAAACACATATTATGAAGCCTCACAATGAACATTTTATAATCCTTGCTACAATAATTACCATGACAATGGTACTAGTGACCACAATGAGCAAATTAAATAGTAGCGTGAATCTGCTACTACCCAACGGGCCATCCCTTTATCTTCCTACCAATGCTGCGTTCCCTAACACCTTTTGAGAGGGGGCACGGAAAGGAAATTTGATGTTAAATTTTTTAAAGTCCAAGTTAAAAACTGTTCATTTCTTTTCTAATTATTTATTTAATTTTATCTGTTATTGATATTGCTATTATTTTTTCATGTGCTATTGGGCACAGAAACACGCCAGAGAGAGAGAGAGAAAGAGAGAGAGAGAAGAGACAGCGAGCGAGCTGCCGTTGGCCATGTGGGCGTCCAATGTCTTAAACACCACGCCACCTGCTGGCCCCAAAACTGTTAATTTCTTAATTCAAAACTTGTTTTTAAGCATCAGTTGGGTTTTCTTTCCTATGATATGACTGAAGCACTGGTGATCTGACTTACTTTAAAACATACATTTCATGTCTTGAAAATGGAAATAATGTATTAGCCTGGGTTTGTTTTCACTCCATAGCAGTTTAATTTTCCTCAGTTAGCAAGGACATTATTTGAGTTTTGCTCTGTTGTGGTCCATTTATAATTTAAAGCAATCCCCTTTCTCTTACTTTGGAGACAGTTACTACATTTAGACTACAGTTACCCTGGATGCTCTAAAGAATACTCTGAGGGCCTGTAAGGTATGAGGCCCAAATCCAGTCGCAAGGTTTCTGAGGTGTTGCAACTAAACAGACAGCCAAGAGAAACCCAAAATGAACTTACAACATTCAGAACTGAACAGGAGGATTGCATATTTAAACATTAGGGATACAACTACACCAGTAGTAAGAAATTTGTACACTTGAATGGATTTGCAGAATATAAGACAGATCATAAGTAGACAAGTTAAGTATTCAAGTCAAGTGACTAAAAAATAATATACAGGTACCTGAAAGAAACGAGAGAAGTGAATAATGAAATGAATATAGTTTAAATGAATTAGACAGTAAAAGAAGAGATATTTTCAAAACACCAGAAGGTGGTTCTTTGGGATTAGTAATAACATAAGAAAAACAAACAAAAAAAACGTGAGGACACTTTTATTTAAAAGATTTCTGAAATAGACAGCAAGCCAAGGAGGCACGTTTGATTTCATGGCCCACTTGAGGACAACCTCTTGGCCGCGCTCCCTCCCTCCCACCGTGCACTCGCCCTAGGTATCCCCTATTGCAGAGACAAAATAATGACATGGAATCTGGAGTCAAATTGTCTAGGTTTGACTGGTCCTCTCCCTTATGAGCCACGTGACCCTGGGCAATTTACCGACCTGCCCTAGCTTTATTTCCACTGATGTAAATGAGCATGATCACAGAAACTGCCTCATAAGGCTTAACGAGGGCCTGGTGCGCAGCATGTGTGAGGCACGAGAGCCATATTAAAGGCAGACTGGGTCCATAAATGAATCCCCTCGGTTGTTTCTATAGAAGATGGACATTTTCCCATGGACCTTGGTGTCAACACTAACATATTGAACTGTAAGTTCTGCCCAATTTGTTTTTTTTTCCTGGCATTTTAATTTTTAAAAAATTTTTTTATTATTATTATCATCATGATCTTCTTTATATTACATTGGGTTACATATAATTTTACAGTGTACTACAGAGATTTTTGAAAAGGGAATGCCATGCATGTCAGTCAATACAGAGACATTAATCTCCCCACTTCATTATTCAATATCTTTTCTGTTTTTTCCAATTATTATTATTATTCTAATTATTTTTAAAACAGTCAATCACTATTTCTCATTTTGCTTGTAAAAAGATTTTACCCATCATGAAATACTTCTCAGACCAATCCAGTTACATATACATGTCATCATCAATAGGTAATAAGCCATATCTGTTTCTCACTGATGTCCTGCCTCTCTATTGTTCACTTGCTATCTTTCTCTATCCTCTTCTCTTCACCCCCCCATTCCACACTGTCCTATTCTTGTTAAGTACCTTCACTGCTTTTATGTCCTCCAATATTTTGCTCTCTACCATAGAGTAAGGATAGTCGGTATATATTGAGTGGATACATACAATATCTTTCTTTCATAGCCTGGCTTACTTCACTCAGCAATAGATCCTCCATATCTGACCACTTTCTATCAAATGCCAGGGTCTTGTTATTTTTTATGGCTGAGTAGTATTTCATAGAAGATATATACCACACTTTTCCAATCCATTCATCAGTTTGTGGACATTTAGGCTGGTTCCATGTCTTGGCAATTGTGAATAATGCTGCAATAAACATTGATGTGCAAGCACTTTTCTGACTGAGCATTCTCCTGTCTTTTGGGTAAATACCCAACTACCATTTGACCCAGCAATCCCACTTCTAGATATTTACCCAATTTGGAACTTTGGCTTTAATTTTTATCTCCTGTGGATTTAAAACATGTCTAACAATTCTTTGACCTTTTCCCCATTCAAAGATGAAGAATAATTTCTCTCTAAGTATGGACCAAACTTAACGTTGCGTGTTGATTAATGAAATGCATTGGAAGTGATAATGCCTGAATTCCAAGATGAGGTCATTCAAAAATATTACAGATTCTGCAGCCTCTCTCAGAATCCCTGCCCTCGGAAGCCAGGCACAATATCGGGAGGAAGCCAGGCCATGCTGAGAAGCCACATGATAGTGTTCTAGCCAACAGACCCACTGAAGGTCCCAATTGGAGCCAGCATCAACCCTCAGATATGTGAGCAAATGGTGTCCAGATGAATCCATCTCAGCTGGGATCAAGTGGAGCAAAGACAAGCTAAACCTACACAATCTGGCCAGCTGGCAAATTCTTGATCAAATAAATGCATGGCTGTTTCAATCCATTATGTCCTGCAGTGGTTTGTCACACAACAATTCATCAGAAGCACAGATTTTGTTCCCAAAAGTGGGGTGTTGACATGTCAGGAAACCTCAGATATGTGTGAGCAGCATTATGGCTGGTGGTGGGTAAAAGTGCAGTTGGTGATATACAGCTAATTCTAGAAATGTAAGCAAGGATTACATGCTGTTAAATATATATCAAATATAATTCTACAAATTTTAAAATTAAAGGAGAAAAATATTCATATTATTATGTTAATTGATTCAGATAAAAGTAGTTCAATAAAAGCCCCATTCCTTTAAAAAATAATTGTAGCAAACTGTTGTCAAAGAACACCAGAGAGGGGCCAGCAGGTGGCATGGTGGTTAATGCTAAGGACTCACACTTAGCCTGCCATGGTTCAAGTCTCAGACATGATGGCTTTGAAAAATCACACTGTGTGTGCCAAAATCCCAAGAAGAGAATGGAGGAGAAGGGATTATGGTGTGCCCATTCCTAGGGAGTGATTTCTCACTTTTCCTCTCTCTTTCTGTCTCTCTCTAATAAGTGCATGTGCCCTATGGCAAAAACCTAAAAAGAAAAACAAAACGAAAGGAGCAAAAAACACAGAGTTTTAAAAGACAAGCAAAATACACTTGGACAAAATGTTTGTGTATACATAACAGACGAATAATAACTACCTATTACCTATAATTATCTAGAATATAATTAAGATTACCTTCTAAAAATTAATATTAAAATAGGAAAAAAGGGAAGGACCAGCAGATGGCATAATGGTTATGTCACTGGACTACCACATGACTGACCGCCGTTGAAGTCCTGGATCTAGAGACTTGAAACTCATGCTGGGCACATGTACATGCATGCCAAAAATACCAAAAGAAAAATGGAAGAGAAGGGACTGCAGTGTAACCATCCCCCTGGGGGGGGGGGCGGTTGGTGGTGATTTCTCACTTCCTGTCCCTCAGGTGAGTGCACATGCCCCATAGCAAAAATCTCTCTCTTAAAAAAGAAAGGGGGAAAAAAATAAAAAAAGTAGTTAAAATTAGCAGAAAAATGCAGAAGACAATGCACAAATGGGAAAAAGAATATAGATAGATAATGATGATGATCAATAGAAAGCTAACCAGCTTTAGAAGTAATAGAGGAAATACAGATTAAAACTACAATGAAATGGTCTTTCTCTCTCAGATTTGCAGAAATGTAAATGGTCTGAAAAACTAAATGGCAATAATTATACAGGAAAACACTGACCTTGCCAATGGCTCTAGTGAAGAGTGACTTGGTACAACCGCGTAGACAATAAGCTTGGCAGAATCTAGTGTAACTGAAGATACATTTAAATGCCATGCATGACCTATCTGTTCTCCTTGCAGTGTGTTATGCATGTGCACACGTGTGGTGTGAGTGTGCATAAACTAAAGGACTTTAAAAAAATCATAGAAAAATGGAATTAAAGAATTCATTTTGGTGCAAAATTTTGAAATCCATGCATAGTTTTCATAATACACATTTTAATAAACTTTTAAAATATTTTATTTGTTTATTTATTATCACACACATTATTATCAGCAATTTTTCATTCTTGTGTCCATTAATTTTTTTCTCTTGATTCCCTTCCCCCCCATTGCTCACCCTTCTACATTGTCTTTAGCTTGCCATTATTATTATCACTACTTTTAAATGTCAAGAAAAGCTGTTTTAGCTTTAATGAATTGAAAGTTTTAAAAAGTTAAAAAAAAATTGCTTAAGACTTAAAGCCAGGAAACAACTTAGGATTCTGTCCAAACAGTAGGTAGATACTAAAAACTCAAACAAACAAATATGGACAAAACTAACATCTAATAACAATTGCTCTGTAGTTTTCTTCTGAAACACTTTTAGTTTGTCACAGAAATGATCAAATATAGTGAACTTTTTGAAGATCTCATACATGTGAACAAACACCACTAGACACCACTCATATTACACAAAAAGTTTAGGGGTTTATACAAGGGTGTCTAGTGCACCAATGTTTATCAGAAGAAAAATTTCTAGAGGTTATGGGATTGTATACCACAGCCAAGTACACATGTCATTGACAATCAATATATCGTCCTCTCCCTTGCCAGTAGATAAGTAACTTAGTATGATTGTTATAGAATGTGTACATTATGTAACCTGTAGCCCTTGATAGGATATAGATATTACAGTCCACCCCAGCTTCAACGAGCCTGGATTATGGACACATGCGTGCCCAGAATACTCAGAGAGGTCTCCAGATGGGAACCAGCACTTCCTAGGTGGGTCTGTCTCCCAGATAATTACATTTTATCACTGTACTATTGTCCAGCCTTCTCATCTACAAACTTTAAAGAGATATAGACCATTTTCCATGTTGTTTCTGAATATAAAATTCGCTCAAATATTTTTTAACATGTACGGGAATGATCTACTATGGTAGTCAAATCTATAGTGTCGTTGGGAACCAGCAGTTAGCGTAATGGCTATGTCGCTGGACTCCCACGTAGTCGACCGTGGTTTGCATCCCAGACCCGGTGGCTTAAAACTCACGCTGGGCGCGTGTGCGTGCGTGCCCAAGATCCTGAGAGGAGAATGGAGAAGGGATTGTGGTGTGACCATCCCCCCTGGGGGGTGATTTCTAGCTTTCTGTCTCTATGTCTCTATCTGTCTGGCGAGTGCACGTGCCCTATAGCAAAAACATCTCCAAAATAAAAAATCTATAGTGTCGTCTGTCTCTGGGTTAACAAGTGGTTTAAGTGGTTTAAGATGATTTGAACAATACTTGTATTACCACACTTATATTAAAATACGTGGAATAAAATATTATTTCTTAAAGTAGAAATAAAACAGGATTGTCTCAGAGAAGTAGGTTCATGAGCTTACCTTCAGGGAATGCCAACTATTGGATCGTCAGGATGCATTCTTGCATAGGAAACATGGAAAACTACATCATGACTTTCTTGAAGACCTAACATTATGTCAATTGTCAAATCTCCTAATTCTATGAATATAGTTATTATTTTAAGTTTATTTAAGTTTATTTATTTATTTATTTATTTATTTATTTATTCCAAAAGGAGGAAAAAGAGAGATAGAGAGAGAGTACCCCCAATGGGGTCTTCATTCTGTGATCTACCCTCAGTCTTATCCAGCCATGATGGCAGGTGCACATGCACTATGCCTGTACAGAGAGAACTCAGGGTGTGAATTGGGACCTTCTCACACACCTCAGCATCCTGGCACTGGGTTATTGCCACACCACCTTGGCTGACCTAAGGATACTCTTTGAAAAGAGATGGAGTCACAATAGGAGATTCCTTTTCATCAGCCTGAGACCAGGAACTGAGTGAATTGATGCTAGGTAGACTTGAGAATTACGTTGGCCCTGTCTATGGCTGAAGGAAACGCCAACCTTCCCTTACATGGCTGCCTGCCATTTGCACAGGAAGTTGGAAGCAGCAACATGAATCAAAGAGTCAGGGAAGCTGAACATACTCTGTAGTCAAGGTACTACAGTCAGAAACTGCCCTTTCAGACCTTTTTCTTAAAAAAAAAAAAAAATTAACACAATGGTTTTTGTTTTTGTTTTTGTTTTCTTTCAGTTCTTCTGGTCAAACTTTCAAAGGACTCTCTGGATTCCTCTAGTCTTTTTACTTTGGAGCTGCTATGGCTGTGGCTTTGAGGACCCTCTGTTGCTTCTTTAGCTTTTGAATATCCTGGAAAAACTGAATGCACAGACAGAGCCTTTCTGGTCACTAAGCTGTGGTGGGCTGTTTGGTAACACAGCGGGGGAAGGTGTCCTCAATCCCTAGCTCTCTGCAGTTCTTTTTAAGGACATCAAATTGGTATTAATGAGATTTGTGAGTATCTTTTTCATATGGCCATCATCAGATAGCATTTGTGTGTTTTTTCCTTTCTATGTTTTTCACATATTTTTCATAATTACAAATCTTGATGGTCAAGACATTTTGAGCTTCCAGGGTGCTGGTGTCTTCACCTTGTTTATCAGTTGTTCTTGTTTGATTGTTAGCTTCTCCCTCTGGCTGGTCATTTTCAAAGACAAGAGTCTTTTCATGGCATCATCAACCACCTCAATTACAGGGATGCTCTGGTAGTCTTTGAGTCACACGGAAGGAGGTGAGTCATTGTCTCGGCTGGGATGGACTGGTCTTCAGATGGTACATCTGTGGGTGGCCTGAAGGAGATTTGAGACTGCAGGCTCCACTGGCTGCAAGAAAGCCTGGTGTTTCACTCTCTGAACAGCTTCAGGGCCAGGGACTGGGCCATTGCTTGGGTCTGAACTGAACTCAGCACCCTCCATGCCCTCTCTCAGCATAGTAACTTCGACCTCCCCAGAGTAGTGCCTCTGCCACTGTCTACTTCAGGTGTAGACACCGCCATGCTGGCTTAGGGTCCAGGTCTAATTACTTTTATGTTGCACTCTGTGTCATTATTTCATTTTTCTCCCATGTATTTAATAGTTGTTATTATTTTTTTAGAGAGGGAGAGATTTTTGCTTTAAGGTACACGCATTCACCAGAGAGACGGAGAGACAGAAAGCAAGAACTCAATCCCTAGGGGGAATGGTCACACTGCAATCCCTTTTCCTCCATTCGCCTCTCAGGATCTTGGGCATGCACACATATGTGCCCAGCATCAGTTTTAAGTCACCCAGTGTGGCACTTGAACCACAAATGACTGACTACATAGGAGTCCAGCGACACAGCCATTACACCATCTGCTGGTCCCAATAGTTACATATATTTTTTTCAAGTTTGTCTCAACTGCACTAAGCTAAGCGGAAACAGGAAAAGATGTTTTAATTAGAGGTTAGTTACTCTATGCCTAATATTTCAATAGTATTGTAATATAGATGTCTTTGGGGAAATCCTTTTATTTTGTTATGCCTTAAATACACAGACAAGAGGAAGTTAGAAAATTACACAATATCCTAATATAAATAAAATATAAAATG